GTGCGCGTGGCTGCGGAATCTGCGCAGGCGCGCCCTAGTGCTGAGTCTCGGGGGTAGCTGCGGAGCAGAAATAAAGCGCGGGCGGGCGCTGAATAGGCCTCGCCTGGATTCGCCCTTCACACCTCGTTTCTTTCATGTTGCGGACTGGGCCGCTCGGCCAAGTCTCGCAGGGAATCTAGTCCTATACTCTAGCGAGTAAATTCATGGCTTGATTTGAGAAAGGGCGACAGTAAGGAAGCAGGGTCCAGGCAAGGGGCTGTGGAGTAGAGAGGAAGTCGCGCAGTTGCTCAGGATGACATCACCAGGAGCCACAGGGTTGCAGCCAAATGATCTGGGTCTTAAACTTCTCAGAAAGGTCCTTCTGGGCCCCAGGCGCCAGGCCCTGGGTCAGTATACCTTTAGAAAGGTCCTGGGCCCCAGGCGCCAGGCCTCGGGTCAGTTTACCTTTAGAAAGGTCCTTGTGGACCCCAGGCGCCAAGTCCAGGTCAGTTTACCTTTAGGGTTCACCCGCCCGCTTCCCTGTGGCTCCGGACAGGGGGGGGGGTCTCTACGCATGCGCAGTGATGCTTCTTCGGCCTCCTGAGCTGCGCAAACCCAGTAGGAGAGGCTCCGAAGGCCTTAGCAGTCTGTGTAGAGTGCATCTACCGTTATTTCCTAGGTCTTTTTAGCTGCTCTTTTTTTGTTTTGTTTTTCGCTTGTCCAAACCCACCAGAGAGTGCAATCTGCAATCTATTAGGGGGAGGGTCCTTTGCTATTTTCAGAAAGTACCTTTAAAGCACTAATCCTATTTTGCCTTCTGGGTGCACGTTTAAGCATCGTGTTGGAATTCAGCTCAGCGTCTGTGTGGCTGGTGAAGCGCTCTGACTCAGCTTCCCCTTGCAAGTGAGGCAAGTTAGGCCCTTGGTATCAGGACATAGTACGTGTTCGATAAAATTAGGCCTTCCTGGATTCCAGTGGGTAGTGCAATCACCACTTCCCTTTGAAGACCCTGGGCCTCAGGGAAGACAGTTCAGGAGCCAGTTCGTAAGGAAACTGTGGCCCGAATGCAGTCCTCCGTGGATTCCGTGTTTGTTATGGCCACTCTTAGCAACACGGCACAAACTGGGTGACCTAAATAACAGACATCTACTGGTTCCCAGTTCTAGAGGCCACGAGTCCTAGATCGAGAAGACTGCAGGGTTAACTCCCCCTGAAAGGCTGTCAGAAAATGGTCTCTTCCAGGTCTTTCCCCTTTGCTTGTCTGTGATTGTCCTTGCCACAAATCTAGTCCTATTATCTCCCCTTGATTTTCTAGGAACATTTGTCATATTGCATTAAGGCCTACCGTAAAGGCCGCTCTTCAGCTTAAAGACCCTCTTTCCAAAAGAGCGACCTGAGAAGTCCAACACTTGTTTCTTTTGTAAGACCTAAAGTCTCACTTCCACTCCACGGAGCGTGAACAGCCAAAAAGGCCTCCACAATGCTGGGCCCAACACCCAGCGAGGCTCCAGGAGCTCGACGGAGAATGAGAAACCCAGGAACACACCAGGCTAGATGGTAAAGAGACCTTTATTAGTCTGGCCAGACGGCACTCCCAGAGCCAGGTGGCTCAGAGAGGCGCCTAGCTCAGGGGCCGAGGTCCTCTTATAGGGAGTAAAAGAGGGGGTTAACATTTTTGGGCTCACAGACAGGGGACAAAGGTCTGCTGACTTGAGCTGGTGGTCAGCAGTCACATGTTCAACAGTCACATATTGATGAGTAACAGGTACCACCTGTAGGATGTCTCAAAGGTCACTAAGACACTCCGGATGAGCAAACAGTTTGTCAATTAGCTTGGGCTCTATGTCTGGAGTCTCTAATTTACAAGTAGATTCAGATCCGGACTCCAAACAATACAAGAGTGATCCACATTCTTAGGCCAGGGCTGGAACAAAGGTCGGGGCTGTGGCTACAATGGGAGGGGTTCAGGACACTGTCTCCTAGGCCCTTTGCCATTTAGCAAGGGCTTGTAATTTAGGGACACAGTTCCACCCAGATCAGGTTCCTTCCAGCAGCGTTTGCTCAGGTTCTTACAGTGTGCTGGTACTCACTCGTTGGAGACTTTAGAGTTTTCATTATCAATTCCTTTTCTGAATACACCGACGAGAGTTATTTTTATTTTCTTTTGTAACAGCACAGCTTTGCATACTTATCAGACGAACAGAGTTGTTAAAAGCAAAAACAGTCACACTGCCAGGATGAAGACTGAACACGGTGATCACCAGTGCGCTGGAACGGATCACTGTGTCAGGGACGCTTGGTGCCTGAGAAAGAGCAGGGGGAGTTGGCGGGCTTTTGAAGCCTCCTGCAGACTTGCTGCAAAAATAAGCTAATATTTGGAAGTGGGTGATAAAGACTTCTTGTGTATTGTATCCATTCCAGGTCAGGGGAGGACTCTTGGGGGACAATGCACCTTTCTCCTTGTGCCAGGAGCCAAAATAGGTTGGGAAGTGATTTCCCTTAACTGCCGCTGACATAGCACAACTGCATGACAATCACAGAAGATAATATAGAGGATTCATCTGGGGTTCAGCACCCACCCCCCCCAGACCTGAGAAGCTCCATCATGTCATTGCATTAAAAAGCTTACTTTCCACATTCTCCCAAAGCTTCTTTTGCACACACAGAATGGAAGACACCTCTGCTCTTAGAAATGAAACAAACCTGAGTGTAGGAAGGCTTCTTGGTTACCAGCTGGGTTGGCAAGGAATGACATTGTGCTAGGGATGTGATCTGTATGTGAGTGACACGTTATCCTTCAGACCTTGTGACTGGTTCATCTTGGCTGTCAATCCGATTGGTGTGTGAGATGCCTAAGGGATTACTGAAGCCCACTTCTGGGTGTGTCTGGGTAGGCTTGGGGGTGTAAACTTTGGGGGCTGTATCTCATCCCTGGCCCGTCCCGTCCCCCCCCCCCGCCCCTCTGCTTCCTGACTGCCCTGAGGTAAACAGCTTCCCTCTGCCGTGCCCTTCGGCATGCTGTGTCTTGGAGCCAGCTGCCCCTGGAGTGAACTTCTCTGCATTGAGCCAGAATGAACCTGTCCTCAGTTGCGCTGTGAATGTCACCTGTGTGGTTCCAGGGATGAAAAGATGACTAATAATACAGCCTTTCAAGATTCCCCAGAAGAGGCAAAGACAGGCCAGTCCTTTGCAGAAGTCCGATTCATTTCTGCCTTACAGTTTAATTTTCCCCAATTGTGTTTACCCCTTGGGTCAATAGCTCAGTTTCCCTGGAAATTCAAAAAGACAAGAGAAAAGATCCAGAAAACTGCAGTAAAACTATGTCAAAGAACATTAACACCTGATCGAAAAAACGTGATTTTTTTCTCGTGCAACATAGGAAATTGGATCATGTGAGATGCATTTCTGTAGCTGTCCTAACCTTAATAGCATCCTGGCTCTTTTCATCCTCTATTTTTTCCTGCTTTTGTTCTGGTGCTCCTCTGTTTGTGTTGTCTAACGTCTTAGGTGAGAGGCTGTCCTTCCACATTGTGTTTGCAGTTGGGCAGTTGTCTCTGGGCCAGCCATCTGTGGTGGAAAGCTGTCCCCGGCAGCACAGCGGGGAGGTGGCAGCAGCAGTAGCAAGCCACAGCTCACTGTGGGCCGCAAGATCACAAAGATAAAGCACCCGACACTCCAGAAGCATCCTGTGTTGCTAAGTTGGTCTGTTCTGGAGGCAAATTGTGCTTAGTACACGTTAACTTACTTTGTTTTCAGTCTATGGTTGATGAATCGGTGTGTGTGTGTGTGTGTGTGTGTGTGTTTGTGTATGGTTAAATGTAGGAGCATCTGCTTGTGGTGCTGTGGAGGGGAAGTTCATTGTTCTTGACCCTCTGAGTATAACCTAGAGGAGAGATGTCCATTTTTCTTCCTTTCCTTTCCTGTCTGTCTGTCTGTCTCTGTCTCTCTCACTCCCCATTTCTGTACGTCTTTCTCAGTCTGGGGACGGAATTCCGTGCCTCGGTGGGTTCTAGGCACACTCTCTACCACTGAGCCCCATGCTATTTAAGTTTCATACTCACCCTGAAAAACTAGAAGGCGGGCTTAAGGAACTTCTTTAAAAAGTGATGAAATGCCGATTTGGGTTCAAACAAGAAACTTCTGTCAGTTTGATAGTCTTCCCTAGTGATGGGGGAATTTTTTTCTCTCTCTCTCTCTCAATGGTAATAAATGATTTTTTTATTTGTTTGTTTTGTTTTGGTACTGGAGATCTAACGCAGGACCTTGCCCTTGCCAGACAGGCACAGCCCCCCCGAGTTATCTCCCCAGCCTGAGACAGATGATGTTCTAAAACAGCCTGTGTGGAGGGAGGGTTCAGACACTGAAAACACGAGTGAGGCAGGTGCTCAAACCTAACTGTGCTTTGTAATAGCCACTGCATCCTTGGGATTCTCTCTCCCTAGGATGGATGCAACTGCGGGTGATGCGATCTCTGCTATCTCTTTTGCCAGACCCCCAGCAAGAGGAGCTCCTCAAATCTGGGCTGAATTCGCCCTCCTCAGCAGGAACCTTGCTCTCTATCAGACGCTGATCATCACAGCTTCTTCTGAGTGAACTCTCTGTGCTCGCCCGAGAGTATTTGCTCCCGTGCAGCGCGATCGGTCCCTCATGCGGCGCTGTGGCGCCTGCGTGGAAGCGCTGCTCAAGGCCGCGCGCCGAGAGTCCAGGCTTAAAGAATGATGGCTGACGGTGGTTACAGTTCTCTCGCTACTTTATAACCAGTCACAGCCACCGGCCCTCCAGTGCCTAGGAAATACGCACTGCTTTATGAATGAGCTGTGGATCACACTTCTCATCTTTCTCCTGCTTGCTGCAGAAATAAGGAAATGGAGCTGCTGGGAACTTAGGCAGCTACCGCAGCACGGACGTGTGAAAATACGCGGAGCGGAGGGTGGAACTTCGGTTCATTTTGCAACCTCAGAAAACATCCCTATATTTTCATATACAATTAAAAATTTTCTGATTATTACTGGTAAATATTCTAATCCGCAGCATGAAAATGCAAGTACTATGAAAGTCAAAATACAGTATTGCTTGTACAAATATAGGCAAATGTGTTCTAGCAGCCCCAGCTAAAAAACTATAAGGAAAGCAAAAGCTCCAGTTAAGAACAGCAATCTCTTTCCCCTTGTGCATTTCAGATAACAACCGAGCAACAACGTGGTCCAGTTTGCTCTGGAATGTCAGTTTTCTCCTTAGTGCCCTTGAAACCAAATCCTACCCTGACTAATGGTAGGAGAGCAGAAAGCCGATTCCATAACCTCAATCTCCAGCTTGTCCCAGACCACAGATCTGGGAAAGAGTTGTCCCTTCCACATGCACAAACTTGTGTTCACTTGAAAACTCCCATTCCTGAGACCTAGCACGGTCTGGGGATTTTCCCAGCTTTAGGAGTACCACATGCGCCCTTAAAAAAGAAAATAAAATCTATTACTTTCCCGTGAAGCCGAGACCCTCGTACATACTTTAGAAATGTCTGGTTTGTAGTCAGGGCTTGCAAGGGAAGAGGTTTAATACAGGATACATAATTTAAAGGATTATTTTATAATATTCACCCAAAGAGTGAAATGCGAGAGTGCAGAAGATGTCTGCGTATTAGAGACCCAAAGAATTTAGTGGAAGGCCTGGAGCACACGACGGTGTCTCATTCCTATCGGTATGGTGGACTTGCCCCAAGAAGGCCCAAAGACCAGTGGTGGAAGCCAGAAAGCCTGTACCTGCCAGATGAGGGATTTGTCCCACCAGGCTGAAGGATCTGCACTGGAGCCAAGAAGCGACTTTCAAGGTGAAGAGCAGGGTTTCCCTGTCAAGCAGCCATTCCCAGCCGCAGTAAGGGCTCTAGATTCTCCAACGAAAACAGCCAAGTTTGCATCAGGAAAATCAGCCACAGTAAGCAGCGAGCTTCTCTTGAGAAAATCCACAGTCCCCGATTGATTCCTCCTCCCCACCAGTTCTCTGTTTATGCCTTTGGCAACAATCCTCAAGTGGGTCTTCCATGCGCGGAACCACGCTAACCCAGTTAAACTGGGCTATCCAAGTTGCCCATTAGTTAATCTACCACACCTGATAAGTCTTTGTTTTTGTTGGTGGTGGTGGTGGTGGTACCAGGGATGGAGCTCAGGTCTTTGCACTTGCAAGGCAGGCGGTGGAACCACTGAGCTAAATCCCCGGCCACACCTGAGAAGTCTTATGCTGAGGACCTTTTCTGATTTTAAAATTCAGTCTCACCGTCAGCTGTTATCTTGAAGTAATCAGTAAGAATTCAAGCTGCGGAAAAGTGACCCAAACACCAAGCACACTGAAATAGCCCCAGAAATTTACCTTGTAAAGTTCATAGATTCAGAATCTTTCTAAGCACCTAAAATAGTTGAGGTTTAAGAATTTCAAGGGGGATGGAGATGTGTAGATATAGGTGTACAAATGCACATCTGTTATAGTACATATAGTATGGCGACCATTGTAAAGGAACACGACATGAGCGTAGTCATATTGACCTGTGATTCACCCGAGCGGTGTGGACGTGCCGTCGCTATAGCAATGGGCTAGTTCAGCTGGTGGTCTGATCTATTGCCTAGCAGATGTAACCCATAATGGTTGTTATTGTTTCCCTCTGGAATGTGTGGGCGGCACTCTCGCTCCCGTGACTCCCATGCATGGAGAGTATAAAAGGAAGAGGTTCTGTAATAAAGCAAGCAAGGAACTTGAGAAGAAAGGTGTCTCCTGTCTCTCTGTCCTCGTCCTTTCAGGTTTAGGACCTGCTGGCAGGATCCTGATGACGCGGCTCGCGACAATATAGTATGTATACACACACACACACACACACACACACACACACATAATTGGTGTGGGCAATTTTAAGGAATATGAAATCCCAGAATTCTGGGAGGCTAAGACAGAAGGATCATAAGTTTAAGCCCAACCTGGACAACTGAATAACTTGGTGAGGCTCGGATTATGAAAATGAAAATAAGAAACAATAAGAATTGAAAAATCGACTGGGGGTATAGTTCAGTGCCAAGGCCCTGGATACAATTCTCAGAACTGCCTAAAAAACAAAACAAACCAACAACAAAAAAAAGAAAATGCCTTATACTTTAAATACATGTATTTGCCTATACACACCATAGTACATGTTATATATAACAGAATTAATGTAGGTGATATCGAGAAGTTGAGAACAAATGTCATTGTGAGTAGTTTAATGTACTTAATGTACATACTTTTGCACAGAGCCTCGCATCCTGACACTTCCTAAGGAAGCATATTTAAGTCAAACATGCATTCACTGTACTTAACTCATTGGGTATGATAGCTTATCCTAGGCTGCCTTAGGTGTATTCAGAGCACGCGTGTTACTTACAGTGGAGCAAAACCAGTTTTACAATAAAGTGTTGCCCACTTCCCATACACATAGAGGTGCACACTGTGTAGTCCATGTGGGATCCAAATAACACAAGACACAGTTTGCAATAGATGCTTGCAACACAGCCGAGTGCAGAGTGTGGGTCGTTTCTGCCTGTGACTGTATTTCTGACTGGGAGCTCCTGCCTACCTCTGGGAGAGATGATGGTTCTGAGAATCACAGGCTCAGGAGAGGATCAAAACTCAGCATGCAACGTACAGGTTTTACCAGATGCGCCTCACTTTTGCACCATTGTAAAGCTAGTATAGCAGCAACAGCATAAGACCCCCCAAAATCTTATGTCCATCCATGGTGCATGTCTTAGTTACTTTCTCAGCCCCGAGGCGCAGAACTCAGCACCTACAGCTCTCAGGAGGAAAGGTTTATCTGGGCTCACCTATTGTAGAGGTTTCAGTCTGTAGTTGGCTGGCTCCCAGGCAGAGCAGCATAGCAGCGGAGAAGCAGTCCATGGCATGGTGGCTGTGAGAAGCACAGAGGGATTAAGCAAGGAGGAGGGACACAGACCCTGCCAGGCCACGTCCCCAGCAACCCACCTCCTCCACCTTCCCATTTAACCTCACCTCCCAACTTCCCATTTAGCTATAAACTCATCAGTGGAGCAGTCCACCGCCCAGTGTCGTGCTTCACGATCCAATCACCTCCCCAGTGCGCCACCTACAAGCACACGAGGGTTTGGCGGAACATCTGGATGCAAACCATAGCAGCGTGTCAGGGGCCGTCTGTACCTAGGTACATGTGTGTGGTTAGGAGAAACTTGAAAGATCTTTATATGTAATATGTGTGTATATATTTATATGCAATTGTCTTGATTTGAGAGTTGTATAACAGGTAAATGAAATGGATGGATCAACTGGGCACAATGGATGTACTTTTTGTTCTTTTGTGGGCACATTTCAATTGAATGTATTTGTTTGCTGCCATCATATTAATGTATAAAGAATACCGTTTAACAAGCATATATTTCAACTCAATTTCCTGCAGCTATTTAAAATGCTGTGAAAGGCTCTTAAAGGCAATTAATTTCCATGGCTTCTTGCTCCCAGAGTAAACTAGAATGCCATTTAAAGAAAAGTAATTTGCTAGGGCTTGGTTTTTGGTTGAATAGTAAAGCTATAACTTCAAAGTCCAGAATGTACTCTATCAAGGAGCAAATCATGGTTAGTCCTGCTACAGGAAGGGGAAAAGAAATCAGGAAAACTCACAACTGAAAGGACTCAGGCTGAATCTACTCAGAATTTTCTGTCTTTCTTCTTTGATCCGTTCCCCCCCATATTATATTAAGACATGAAGGAATAACTCTAAGGACGCTTCCCATATGCATTTATGCTGTGCGACCCCATTATTTTCATTTTGTTTGTTTGTTTTGGTACCAGGGATCGAACTCAGGCGGCCCTCATTACTTTCATTTTGATAATCAAAGAAGGCCCCGAGAGCAAAGCTACAACGACACAGGTGGTTGTATTTGTTCTCTATTCTTACAGCAAATGCTTGAGATAATTAGTTTATAAGGAGAAAAGTTTTGCTCACGTGTTCAGAGGTTTCAGTTCCTTATCGATTGGCCCCTTTTCTCTGGACTTGAGGCAAGGCAGCACATCGTGGTGGGACCCTTTGGGGGACGCTGACGTTCCGAACTATAACAGATGTTTTTACATTTCTAGACTCAAGGGCCATGGTGAATGGCTTGGTGGAGGATCGCTGAGTCCGAGCCCAGTAGACCGGAGCTCCTGACTGTTGAACCTGTGTCATTGTTGAGAGAAGAGGAATCTATTCATTGGTTTCTGCGGATTTGGACTTCCTCTTCTTTGTGTGGCTCGGGGAAGAAGCCTTGCGTGAGTACCTTGTCGCTGGGATCTCAAATGCCTGCTTTGCACGGAGTTGTTTGTTTCCTGACTCAGGGTCGTGAGGACCAAGCCTCTGTCTGGCTGCATCGCAGTGTTGGCTGCACGTTCAGTCTTGGAAAGTGAGTCTGCTGAGCAGGGAAGGTTCGCACCATGCTCTCCTTCTGTGGGGCGTGAGGATTTTCCACCCGCGGTGTCTGTGTCCGCCTCCTTCTGGGTAAAGTAGGGAGAGGAGAGGCGCCCCTGGCTGACTTCTGCGTGAGGGTCAGTGCGCCTGTGGTAACACATTTTCAGGTGGGGCCAGCCCTCGGCAGGTTCACGGATCGTCTCCCCTGGTTTATGGATTAAAGCCCCTGTTTTTCAACCTCTGTGAGATTATGCAGAAAGCCTAGTGTGTTTCCTAATGGGTCCTAAAGCAAAGTTTTTCTGTCCTCTTAAAACTGCCCCAAGGCACTATCTGTTTCCTGGCCAGTCAGCAAGACTTGCGCCGTTATTTCCAATCAGTAATGCGGCCTGGATTGTATTCTTCTGCCTGTTTACTGACAAGAAAGCTGGCACCTCAAGAGATGAGGGTCCCCCAAGAGATTTAAGGCACCTTCAAAAGACTCCCCGTGCAGCAAGCAGCAGAATCAAGGCGGGATTCTGGTCCATCTGGGTTCCAAGTCCCCTTCTCGGTAATTCAGAAGAATCCACTTGGGGGGATTTGTAATGGAACCAGATACTAAATAGACCTAAGAAATGCTGTGCAAGGGCCAGGGATTTATCTCAGCGGATTGGTGGCCTGCCTTGCAAGCGCAAAGACCCGAGTTCAATCCCCGGTACAAAAAAAAAAAAAAAAAAGAAAAGCTGTGCTGTGGGAATCCTCTGTGTAGGAGATCTCCACTGTGGATCGTCAGCCCTGTAGTGAGGGCGCTGAAGAGCAGAGAATGGGGTTCGGGAACAGGTTTGTGCACCACCGGAGCCCTGTGCTTTCTGCGGTGGGTGTTGTGTAATCCTCCTGACCTCTGAACAGTCCGGGAGAGGAAGTAGTGAGGGCCTCATAGAAGTGAATAACTGTGCATTTCTTAGGGCAAAAGAGAGGTGGTTATCTCACTCAGGGCTGATACAGCTCTCTTGGGGGATCCCAGGCGAGGGCTGTGTTTTGGTGTGAAGCGCATGCCTGGAATCGGCCAGAGAAACTGCGTGGCTGAATGTCTTCCGTGACCACATGCAGCGGCAGAGGGGAGGGTGGCCTGTAGCCATACGCGCTTTGGGTTAGTGAGACGCCCTGGGACAGGGAAGAGGAAAGGGTACATGGCAGAGAAGGACCACCGAGAAAAGAGCAGGAAAGAAGGATAACGGGACTTGTAGTTTAGCAATTGCACACGGGAGTTGCAGCTATTATGACTTCTAAGAACCTTAAGAAACTCACTGCAAGGAAGAAGTAGCTTCTGGTTGGTCCGAAACCATTTCCTGACAAGGAAAGAGAAGAGCTTCCTGACCTTTTTTCTCTTTCTTTACCTCCGTGCTCCAGGCATAGAAATATCTGTAGCCACCACTGGGGGAAAGGGTGAGAAATAGAGGAGAAAGGCGGTTCTGCCTTCTGTAAGCCCTCCCTCCTAGGCTTATTAAACCGTGCCTTCCCTGGAGGTGGATTGAGGGGGCGAGAACAAGTCTTTCCTGGGGATTGAAACTCAGAGATTTAATATTGCAACAGACATTTAATCTTGAACTTTAAAGCATTCAGTGCTGAGAAATCTCTAGAGACACGTTGGAATTTTGACCCCTAGCTGGTATAAAACATTTTTGAAAAGAACAAATTCTATAGAGAGAGCCTAGGGGGTAGAATGTTGCCCGTGGATGATGTTTTTGGGTGATACTGAGTCATACTCGGTCCTGTTCAAGTACATGTCAGGCTTCACTGTGCTGGAACCCTTCCTTACTATGAAGAGTGGAAAAGATACCCTGGATACATTAAATATTCGTCATGTGAGTGCCTACCACAGGCCAGAGGCACACAAAACAATTAACAGTAAGCCCACTTTTCATCCACAGAAGAATAATGAAAACAAAGGCGCAAAATTTGTCTGTCACTTTTGTTTCTCTTATCTTTTTGACTTACTGTCTTCATGAGGTGATCAACTTATAAAGAGAGGGTAAGAGAAAATAAATAAAAATATGGAGAGCGATTTTTGTCACGGGCTCTGATTTTCCTGAAGGCGTGAGGTTGGAGGACTCCCTCTCTGTGTGTTTCATCAGTGTTTCTAAGACACCTCCCCACTCTGCTGCCATGAATCAACGTGGTAGCCACGGTTGTTGCTCAATGCCGTGGTGTTGACCAACAAAATGAATTCCTTGGGGCTCTTTGCACTGCCTTTTATGTGTAACTCACTCAGCAAACAGGCTATCTGGGCTGAGGTGCATCAAACTCTAGACAAAACATCCAAAGCATCACCCTCCTTGTTAGCACCCTGAGCTACATCCACGGTTGTTCTTGCTCAGGTGGAAAAAACATTGTCATCCCACTTTTCATGCCATGCTGTGCATCTCATAGGCCGCTTATTTGTTTCTTTGCTGTGTGTTTATAATGAATTGCTAAAGCCCACTGAGGTCAGGGAAAGGCTCTAAGTGAACTCGTGCTTTTCTTCTATTTTCTTTTTCCATGTCAGAAAGTCAGTAAGTAAGTAAAGATGAGAGTGAAGTATTCGGAGCTGGCACACAGGTCTTGCAGTGTGACTACTGGTTCTTCAAGTGGAGTTTATCTCTGATTGATATCTCAAATACGCGGGGCATGGGAGAAGGCCAATGCAGAAATGCATGCACTAGAATAACTTTTTCATGATGGATGTGTCCATGACCAACTGATGACTGTCCCGATGGCGGTGGTTGGATCTAACTACCCAGGCTGTCCAGTGATTATTCACACATCGTGAACTTCCAGGCTAGGATACTGCCCTACAACATGAGGTGATACCTTTTTGAGATCCTGAAGGAAAGGGACAGAGAACCTGAGCCTCTCAGTGAGCAGCCCTGTCTGAAAGCCATCCAAGGACTGGTGAGTGGGATTATTATTACTATGGTTTTGTTTCTCAGCTGGTAAGACATTGAGATATGACAGGAAAAGACTACTCAGAGTTATCTGATCTGTACTGTATCAAAACAAGTCAAAAGGTTTCTACTTCTTTCTCTTTCAGAACAGGTGGGGTACGAGTTAATAAAACCAACGGGAGAGCTACTTCTTAGCTGTGGGACATGGACTTCGCGGCTCTCCTCGGTGGGGCCAGTGAATGTTGGTACATTTTAATCTGTAGTGTTACATTAAAGGAAATAGCTAGAAAGCCGCCTACCGCAGTTTATCTAACAGGATTTATTTGATCTTCTGCCTGGAAACAAGATGGTCTTGAGGGAGAATAGAGCACTGACCAAATATTATTTCTTTTCTGTATTACAGCAGTGGTTTGAAAATATAAGGTTAGAGAGAGGGAGGGGGAATAAGAGAAGGAGGGAGCAAAGGAAAAGAAGAGGAGGTGGAGAGAGAGAGAGCACTCAGAAGAACCCTATATGGAAATGAACGAATACAAAGGTTCATTTGTGGTATAGCTGATTCAAAAGAGAAATTAAATCAATTAACCTATGTATTAAATATGAGAATCAGTGCTGCTGAACTAGATACAGTAAATATAGGAAAGATGTGTTTGTCATCCCACTGCAGCCTGTGAAAGACTGGAGTTTTCCTAACTTTACTTTTCATTGCTTTTCTGAAAAATGCATGTGAGAAGGAATTAGCTGTGGCACTAGTTTCCTTTTTTTTTTTTTCATTTTGGAGTTCTTTTTAAAATTTGTAAATATGAGGTTTCCAGATCTGTCATGAACACCTGAATTTAGAGGCTTGAAATTAAAAGAACAAAAGGTCCAACTTCTTTAGGGGACATAAGCATATGTCTTCAAATGTATTATGACCAGAACTGTGTTGGTTTTGTTTTAGGTTGTGGTGTGCTTACTGTTCATTACATCATTGTTCAAGATTGTGTTTGTCTCTGTAGAAGGCACTGGGCTTTCTGAGGAATGAGTATGTAATCTGCAAATTAGCCGTCAGTAGGTGTGGTGGCACAGGTCTGTCATCTCAGCACTTGGGTGGCTGAGGCAGGAGGATTGCTGTGATTTTCAGACCAGCCGGGCTCCATAGTGAGTTCGAGGGTAGCCAGAATGACATAGTGAGACTCTGTGGGGAGAGAGAGAAAGGGGGGGGGGAGAAGAAGGAGAAAGGAGGAGGAAGAGGAGGGAGGGAGGGAGACGGAAAGAGTGAGGGAGGAGACAGAGGGAGAGAGAAAGGTGGAGAAAAGAAAAGTCTAGAAGGAAAGGAAGAAAGAAAGGAGTGGTTATTGTTTTGGGAAAATTTATATTAATTATAGAAAGGAAGCAGCAGGCTCAAAATGTAACCTTTGAAATGCTTGCAGAATATAAACTGGGAAGCAAACAACAAATGCATGACTTTTTTGATCCCAAAGATAGGTGTAAAGAAATGCATGTAATCCCTTCTAGATTAAGCACACCACGTTACTGAGAGCATTATAGTAATGTTCATCGAGAATTGCGCTGTACAGTTCTTGAATACTTCTCAGTCATTGGAAGCATCATGTATCCCCTATTTGCCAATTAAATTAGATTTAATTAGATTCAATCAGAGCAGTGCTAAGAGTTCTAGTTAAAAATGATGTCACTAAACCTGCTGAAGTTATTTTATACCAAGTTTACTCCAATTTACAATCATTTACTTCGTGTGTGTTTTTGTCTCAATGAACACATGATGATGGTTGATAAAAATCCTTATGAACCAGCAGGTAGTGTGGCATTATTATTTACGAATGGAGGAATTTGCTGCCCTTCTTCAGAATGAGATTGTAACCGAACAGCTCTGATCTCAGGATGCAGAAGTATAAAAACTTTCAATGCATGAATAAAGAAAAAAACAAGTTAATAGCAATTCCATGTATTTGCAACCAAAGCTTGAA